TGTTGAAATAGAGACACGGAACAAGGTGATTAGGATCCGTGATCCACTAGTACTGGTCCGAGTGGTGACTTCTCTTTTTCATGTTTTGTGGGAGATTGGAGAATTAGAAATTCATTGCGAAAACAAATGTCGCTTTTTTTTTCTCAAAAACCTAGTGAAAATTCGAACTGCAAATGTATGGATTTCAATAGTTTCAGCATAAAATCCCGTTTTGAATATACTGACAAGTTTGAGAATATACTGACAAGTTTTCCATTATCTCGGTTCCTATGAAAGATATAAAAAAGTTGTCAACTGATAAAATATTTATCATAATATTAAAAGTGTTTTGTTAGTTGACACATTTTTGATATCTTTGACAGGAATTGAGATAATTGAGCTTTAACATGGCAGCCCTTCTATTAAAGGTTTTACGGTTCAAGAACCCCGGTTTTTTGATCCCGATTTCTTTATTCCGATTTTCAAAATTACTAGATTTCAAGCTTGAATGTTTTATTGATCACACTTCCTGCTTATTGTCTAGTGAAGTAGAATTAATGTGAAGGTGGAAAATGATAGGGATTTTGGGCAGATGCAACATTTTATTTTCATTCTTACTGATGACCGACAAATTTTTTTGCTAGTGCTACATTAGGATTAATTAGGATAATTAAGGCCTATCAAGTATCACTGAGAGCAATAAACAACAGTTATTTAACTCGTTATCTTGGTTACCATTAGAGAGTTCAAAATTTTGCCAACTGATAAAATGTGATGAAAATACAGGTTGGCGCATAATTAGCATGAAAGCTGAGTAAAGCGTTGTACTAGGCTAATATTTGGAGAGCACAAATTCAAATATTCCATCAGTAAACTGGCCAAGTTTCAAATGATTTTATCAACTTTAAGGTGAGTTATCGCTCGTCAAAGTTGCTTCTTTTCATGAAAATTACAAGAAGCATTACGCCGTTCATCTTTGGATAATCATAACAATACCTGGACTTGAGGAATTGCTTTGAAAATTTTAATAGCTTTGAATCAGACGTAAAACTATAGCTATACCGATTTTGGCCCTTCCAAGATACCTACGTCTAAAAATATAACCTTTTGCCTCACATTCTAAGCTCACAACCCCAATTCCAGCTCCATTTTTCAAATTCGTTTCAAATCACAAACTGCAATACTCATCCTTCCATCTCCTCTCTCCACCCACACTTCCGATTAAAACAAGATATCGACTTTCAGAATTTTGATGTTTCATCGGTGCTTCATCATCATCATTTCATGCTCCTAGGAAGCGCTTCTCTTAAATTTCAACCCATTGCTCATCTTTTTCTGTTTTCACCATCATCACCATCTCATTCAAATTCATCTCATTGCCCTTTCACCCCGCCCGTGGGTGCCTATTATTCTCATCACTTCCTCTTTTTAATGGATATTCTTTTCTATCTTTCTCTTTAATTTGTGTGTATGTGTGCTCTCATTTCAGAGGGTGAAGCCGGTTGAAATTAATTTTAAAGTTTTGCGATTGCGAATTTTAGGGGAGGTAGAGAAAATGCGGATTTGAAAGAGGTTGGGTTACTGTAGTCCAAAAAATTGATTTTTCCAAAAATTTTCACAAGATTATTCGTAGAGAATACTCATAGTTTTTAATTGAAGTTATTTCTACAGTACTTCTATTAAAATAAATGAACTTCAAGAGTTTTAGAATACCATATTTCCACTAATAGGAGCCCGCCTAAACCATAAACTTTGAGCTCAATTATCTCGGTTCCTATGAGAGATATCAAAAATCTGTCAACTGATATACATAATATTGGTACTGAGATAATTTATCTCAAATTGGATGGTTTGGGTGAGTTTCGAATAGAGGAAATACTGTTCGAATAGAGGAAATACTGTTCGAATAGAGGAAATACTGTTAGCGTTGTTTCCTAATTTTCAGAAAACTTCAATAATGTTCAAAGCCAAATATCTGAAACCTTGGTCATTATAATGCAAAATTGAAACGTTCGGAAAAATTAATCTCTAAAAAACGGAATCTATTTTTGAATATTTTTTGATGAATCACGAAATTTTGGAATTTTGGAAGTGCAAAAAGTACAAAAAGATTTGCATGGCTTCCTGAAAAAAATGTTGTCATAGAATTTTGGAAGTTTGTGATTTCTGGAAAAGGTTTCAGAGCAGATTGATCATAGTTGGCTGCTTGTTTTGGGATCCTGAAATTTCTGTATTTGGATTTTTCAATTTATCGATTCTGAGCTAATTTTGCAAAAAAGTTCCTCTACTGTATTTGATCTAACAGAAGGCCACCCTATGAATTCTCTTTAAGCATAATTATCTCGGCTCCCATAAGAGATTTCAAAATCTGACAATTGATAAAATATTTATCATAATATCACCTATATTTTATTAGTTGGCAGAGTTTGGATATCTTTTATAGGAACCGAGATAATTGAGCTCGAAGTGTTTTCATAAGGTAGGCTTCTATTAGATACTAAATTTGTTCTTTTGGTCTTATCTCCACCTCCTTCTTCCTCTTCCCAATTTTTTTTCAATTTCCTTATCTATTTCTTCCTTTTCTTCTTCTTTCTATTTCCCTTCCAATCTCAGAAATCTCCTCTTCAATCAATGTATTGGGTCGAGGCTAGGATGGATGGGGTGGGGTGTCTGATTAATCTCAAGGGACCAGGGACCGCCTCCCCTAAAATTTGCCCCCACCCTCGCTTCTTTGTTGTTGTGTTTTTCCAAAAACTGAAATCCAGGCAAACATTTTCTTCTTCTCACATCCACATCCCCCTTTTGAATCAAAAAGGATGTACCGAGGCGTCAAGAAGGACTTTTAGAGGGGAGGAGGAGCATCCTATTGATTAGGAGACAAGAAGAAGACGAAGAAAAAGTGGTCAAAAAGAGAGGAAAGTTTTGAGAGCCAATGCGTATTTTCGCTCTCCCCTATCTAATCTCTCTCTTTGAGAAGACGTGCCGCTCCTGAAGGCGAAGACGATGAGCCAAGAGGGGTAGGGGTATGAGGAGAGGAGGAAAAGGAGGACATGTTGCATTCAGAATATTCTCAAGGAATTCAGAAGACACCCAAGAAGAGAGGAGGGACTACAGAAAGGATAGAGAAAGAGAGAAGGGGCACGTCCTAATCCGATGCTCTGGCTCTCGCTCTTTTTTCCGAAAGGTGAGGGGGCGGGAGGAAGAGATAGAAGAGGATCGAAAATAGAGAGAAAAAGAGAGTATTGGCATGTAGAGAGAGCTGAAGCCTGAGAGCTGAGAGATATTTTCTCTCTCTCTCTCTCTCTCTCTCTCTCTCTTTCTCTCTTTCTCTCTCTCTCTCTCTCACTACGTCTCTGTTTCATTCAAACAGCACCCTCTCTCTCTCACTAGCCTGTTTTGCCACCCCTCTTCTCTTCTCCTCGTTTTCGCGCATTTTCAGAGCAAAAGCAACACATAAGAAGAGCATGTGTATGTGCCCCCGGTCATTTTGTAGCCATCTTCTGAATGTATTAAGTCAAAATTGAGCGAAGATTTTTGATCATAGACTGAATGAATTCCCGATTTTTTGTTTCTTTGTATTGTACCTTTTTGTTTGTAGTATTGCAAATAGATTTGTACTTTTCGTTTGTATATGTATCTCCACTTCAAATATTGTGTCTCTTATGACACTTCTGACCATTTTTCATGTGTGGGCTACAAAAATTTTTGGGTTCAATTTGTAGTTAGCGGATTTTTGAAATCCTCTATTTTTAGAAATCTAATGAATTCCTTTATTTTGAAGATTTTGGACCGATTCTTATACCAAAATGTAGACAATTGCAAGCTCTGTAATCGGGTCGTTTTGAATTCGAATAAAATTTTTTTAGAGGTCATGTAAGAGCCAAAAAACATAAGTGTGGCTTAAGGCACCGTAAACATTCTACACTTGCACTTTGTGCTCAATTATCTCGATTTCTATGAGAGATAACAAAAGTATGTTAACTGATAAAATGTTTCTCGCAATATCGCCAAAATTTTATTAATTAATATTTTTTGATATCTTTTATAGGAGCCGATTAAGCTCAAAGACGATGTATAGAGTGCCCTTCTATTAGAGTGTTTACGGTATCGATCATGATAACTATTCAGCCAGGAACTTATAGCTCTTATCAATATCATTTTAAAAAACTAATTTTACAGAAAAATTGCTTTTCAGCATACTTGTGAAATTCCGGGCCGGCCCGCCAAATCCCGGGCCCGGAAGGCCCGGCGTCAAAAATTCTGTATTTTTAAGCCAAATTTTGAGCTCTCAATATAATTTTTTCCATTTTTTTTTTCGTATTTCGGATTGTTTGTCTCTCTGATCAAAAAAGATCGAAAAACTCGAAAAAAATCACATAAGGGTCCTCCCCTTATGTGTTTTTTGAAAATTTCGAAACTAGTAAAATGACGGGCCCGCCGGGCCGGGCCTCCGAAATTCCGGAAAAAGCCCGGCCCTGCCCGGCCCGGCCTGGCCCGTTACAAGTATGGTTTTCAGTGTGATTCGTTGATTCTTAGTGTTCTCCCACCTACTTGGCCAAAAATAATAAGACGAAAATTAAGCTGCTTAGCATATACCTCACATACACCATGTTCCGCTTTTCTTTTGGAATGTGTTACTTTTTTCTATTTTCCCCTTGTTATCATAATCTAAAAACCATGATCACACCGTCGTTTGTGTATTTTTTTCTTATCCCAGATACCGTAAATGCTCTATTAGAACGACCTCCTTAACTTCAATTTTGAGCAAATTTATCTCGGTTCCCAAAAAAGGTATCAAAAAGTTATCAACTAATAAAACATTTATCATAGTTTCAGCAAGATTCTATCAGTTAACAAAATTTTGATATCTTGCATAGGAACCGAGATAATTGAAGTTGATGGTTTGGTTGGGCTTCCAATAGAGGAAATACGGTAATACTGTTCTTTCTGGCCGTATTCTTAATTCTCAAACAATTGATTCTCTATTTTATCTCATTAAAATCCAATTATTTCAGCACTAAATGGGTCATTGCACGAGTAAAGATCAGAAAGAAGGCAAACGCCTGAACCGTCGGATCGATGAGCAAATCAAGAAGGATCAATCAATGAGTCTGCGGATCATAAAACTATTACTTTTAGGTAAGATATACAAGGGACACATGATTTCTCAACCCTTGTCCTTTGTAACATGATCCGCGTGGACAGATGATGCTAAGGAGATGCTAGAGGAAGTCGGCAAAAAACTAGAAGATAAGAAGAGCATTTTCTAGAAAAAAAATTATCCAGATTGATAAAAACGGGTATATCTTAATTTGGATTTTCGTATTTCAAATTTTAGCCCAGTTGAACGCTTTATTTAAGTTTTATGCTAATACAAACTGTAGTACATCCCGATTTTCCCGAAAAAATCGGACAACTTGAAGTCATTTTTCCGAGTTCCAAACTTGACTCTTTTTCTAGAAAGCCCGATTAATGAAAATGTCATAAATCCATTTTCCTAGAAAAGTCTAGTTTATATTGATGATCCCGTACCTAAAATAGCATCTTCCCTTCCTTTACATCACGTAATTCATTCATTTACGGAGTAATCCTCCGTTTTCAATAGGACACTTCTCATCTTCTATTTCTCCTCTTGCAAACAAAAATAAAACTTGAATACATCTTCCTTGATCAGTTTCTAGATCAGAAATCGGGATTGGTGCATCATTCTCTCAATTAGACTAACCAACCAGAAAACCAAATTTTCAGCTCATTATAATTTTCCTAATGAGTGAATGAGTTTGATTTCATAGATCCACCTACCGTGTGGCTCATAAAAATTGAGTAAAGCGTTGTACCGGGCTCAAATTTGGATTGCGGAAATTCAAACAATTAATCAGTAAACTGGCCAAATTTCAATTGATTTGATCAACTTTGAGCTGAGTTATCGCTTTTCAAAGTTGCTCCATCTCATTAAAATCATAAGGGCATCTTTGGACAATCATAACAATACCTATTCTTGAGGAATCCTTTTTAAAGTTTCCGTAGCTTTGAATCAAACGTATATTTATATTTATACCAATTTTCTTGCTTCCACGATACTTATCACTGAAGATATACCCGTTTTATCAGTCATTTGCTCAAGAATCTGCTACTTTTGCAAAGTCTGAAAAACGAAACATGTACTGCCCCCTGCAGATTATTCCATTACGCTTTTTGACGTCACACCTCCCTTCCCAAAAATTCGCATTTTATTAGCTCCCCTCAAACACGACGCCCCGGGCATGTCTTCCAATTAGTTAGTTTCGGGGACATGTGTGCAACAGAGCATTTGTAAAATGATACATGTCGGTGGGAGAGTTTTTAGGAGGAAAGACATGGGAATGTTGAGGGATGTTGTGTTTCGGAATACAAGGGGTATCAGATACATCTGCTGAAAAATTAATTGTACATAGGATGAGCAATTGTTGGGGTTCTGGAACATAGGAAGGATAAAATATCCATTTTTCTCCTCCAAGAATTTGTATAAACAACTTTGGTCAGCTTATAAGTCGGATAGAGCATGTTTATCAGATTTTCATTGTCTACCCATTAAATTGATTAACACTAATCTTAGAGAAGGGTCCGAAGATCCGAAGAAGAATACAAAAAAACAATTAAAAGTGAATCCTAAGATTCTAAAAATCAAATTTCCAGGAGCCGGAGAGAGTGGGAAGAGTACAATACTGAAGCAGATGAGGATATTGCACAAAGACGGCTTCTCACAACAAGACCTGGAAATGATCCGGCCGGTTGTCTACTCCAATTGTATTCACAGTATGCTATCGATTCTCCGAGCCATGTTTCATTTGCAAATCGAATATGGTGAACCGGATCGAGTGGTTAGTTCATATACCAAAAACTACAGTACTAAAAACTTGTTCAGTGGAAAATAGTTTACTTTGGAGCCCTACAAAAGTAATTCAAAGCTGTCCAATTTGTTTGAAAATTTCAGAGTATGCTAAACAAAAATAGAGCTCCAATTTTGTAATTGACAACTTTTTTGTACCAATTCATCGAAATGACATACACTGCTTCAAACCAGCTAATTGTAAAAACTTTGAGAAATCGCACTGATGTTTATCTTCATGACCTTAGATTTGGATTTTTAGGTCATGACCTAAATTCTTAAATTTTCCCGGCCAAAAAAATCTAGGTTAGGGCCTAGATTTTTTAGGTCACGAACTAATATTTTTTCTAGGTCATGACCTGATGTTTTTTCTGGGTCATGACCTAGATTTTTTAGGTCATGACCTATATTTTTTAGGTCATGACCTAATTTTTCCTGGGTTGTGACCTAATTTTTCCTGGGTTGTGACCTATATTTTTTTTCTAGTTCATGGCATAATTTTTTCTGGGTCATACACTAATTTTTTCTGGGTCATGACCTAGATTTTTCCGGGTTATAACCTAGATTTTTTGGGTCATGCGTCATGACCTAATTTTTTGGATTTTGTTATGACCTAACTTATGTAATGAATTTTTTGCCGTCTCGGTTTTCCTATATATCTCATTTTCTGTAAAAGCTTTCAAAAAGTGATTTTATGATAAACATTTTGTCAGTTGACCACTTTTTCATATCTTTTGATGGACCGGAGATTATTGAGCTCAAAGTAAACGTGTAGGGAATGCTTCTATTAGAGAAACTACGGTAGTTAATCGGAAAGTTAGAGCATAAAACTGCAAACGATTTTTTTTTGAGAAGTATTTTCTTTGAAGTATACGTTCGACTTTCAGCGAGACTCCCAATTGGTATTTGCCACGGTTCATGCTAACAAGGAAGAGCTAACGGAAGAGCTGGCACAAGCGATGCAGAGGTTATGGCACGATCCGGGAGTTCGGGAATGCTACAGGAGGAGTAACGAGTATCAGATTGATGATTCGGCGAAGTAGTAAGTGTTTTTTATGAACATCAAGGCTTCAGCAAGCAAAGATTACTTTAATCGTTAGCTTCGAAAGGTTACCATAACCACTCTAGTAGTGTCACCCTATCCTTTCACTTTGAGCCCATATATCTCGGTTCCTGTAACAGATATCAAAAAGTCGTCAACCAACAACTGTTAACCATAATATCACAAACTTGTCAATTGACCACTTGTTGATATCTTTCACAGTAACCGAAAGATACGAGCTGGAGTGTCTACGATATTTTTGACCAAAGTAACAATTCCGACTTTTCAGTTTTCTGGATAACCTACCTCGTCTATCTTCCCCTAGCTACGTGCCAAGTGAACAAGATTTGCTACGAACCCGGATAAAAACCACAGGAATAACAGAAGTGTTATTCGAACTCAAAGGATTAACATTCCGAGTAATTGATGTTGGTGGTCAACGATCCGAAAGAAAGAAATGGATTCATTGTTTTGATAATGTCAATGCGATTATCTTCATTTCATCGCTATCCGAATACGATCAGACGCTGCGGGAAGATAATTGCACAGTAATTATCAGTAGATTCTAATTATCACTAATTGCAATTTTTTCAGAACCGAATGCAAGAATCGCTAAAATTGTTCGACTCAATCTGCAACAGTCCATGGTTCGCTGACATTCATTTCATTCTGTTCCTGAACAAAAAGGTACTCTTATAGAAGGGCACCCTATACTTGCACTTTGAGCTCAATTATCTCGATTTCTGTAACAGATAACAAAAATCAGTCGACTGATGAAATATTGGTCATAATATCATCAACATTTTATCAGTTGACTCCTTTTTGGATATCTCTTATAGAAATTCAGATATTTAAGCGCAAAATGCAAGTATAGGGTAACCTTCTATTACGGTAATTAATTAAAATCAAATCTAAATTACTATTTTTCAGGACCTGTTTGCCGAGAAAATCGTGCGATCCCCGCTTACAGTATGCTTCCCGGAATACAAGGGACAGCAAAATCAGACCGAGTGTATTAATTATATTCAATGGAAGTTTGAACAGTTGAATCGGTGAGTTTTTTGTTGGAAAACTTCTCAATACTTGAAAATTTATTGCCCGGTATTTTTTTTTGAACTAAAAGTCATAAATCTGAAGCTCTTTGTTTCGGCACGGAGATTTTCGGAAAGTTTTTCAAAATATTGGTTTTTGCCGCGCTTTTTTCGATGGACTGCAGGAACCGCTGAGTAGCGACACAGCTGTTGATTTTTAAGCTTTCACCGACGTTTGTTTACTACGGTATTTCAGTGCTAAATAGCGAAAAAAAACACACTTTAAACAACGGCGAAATTTCGTAAATGCGCTCGGATGCGAAACTTCAAAATACCGTAGCTTTACCGTAGAAAAATACCGCAACTAGTTAACGCGTTGGTCACGAAGCGGAAGCTGATAAATGAACTGCTGCGTCTTACGGGTTTGTGCCTGCATTCCATCGGGAAAAGACGCGAGAAAAAACTTATTTTTAAAAAACGTTCCGGAAAAAACTGATTTTGAGCAAAAACTCAATAAATCTGGAATTTCTAGCTCGTCCCAACGAGAAATCTACTGCCATCACACTTGCGCCACCGACACCAACAATGTACAGTTCGTGTTGGATGCTTGTTTGGATATGATCATCGCCAAGAATCTCAAATCGATGGGATTGTGTTAAAACTGTCATTAAAAAATCGTCCTCTCTAATTTTACTAGTCATCTAAGCTGTCTTTTGCTAGATTTTTCCTTTTTTTTATCCTATTTTTCTGCAATCCACTCCATCCGGGTACCTCATTCCAATTTCAATTTTCGAAAACAAAAATTTGAAAAATCAATTTTCAGCCCGTCTTTCTTTTTTCCTCTTCCTATCCCGATTCATTTTTCCTCCTACTTTTCAGTTTTTCTGTCTCAAAATGTTGTTTCAAATCAATTATCATCAACTTGATCGATCTCTCTGTCAATGACTTTTAACTTTATTATGGAATGAAACTTAAAATATTCACAACCTGACATAAAGATATAGAAAAAGTAGCTAGAATTTGTAAGAAAAATCACATAATTATGCACATGCAATTAGAAAAATCTAAGAATCACAATTTATTCTGATCAACTGTTTCACGACGTGCCACTTCGATGTCCTTGGCGATTGCAGATTTCAGCTCACCTGGAAAAAAAATCGAAAATCTCAAACACCAATTATGACACGCTTGACTGCATATTATGCTAAAAATATTTTTTTTGGAAATTTTTTGCTGGAGATATTCAAATTGGCTTGCTTTGCTAATGAGATCGCTGAACAATTTTAATGCTTATGAGTCATAAATTCAAGTTTTTTGCTAAGAAAATGCGCTCAGTTGCACTTTTTGGTCGCAAAATGTGAAAACGTTTTTTGAAAATTACAGCGTTGTTGCGTCGTAAGCGACGCAGCAATCGCTACTCAGCTGGCGACCGCTACGCCGACACGCAACGCATTTAAACTTGGCGAACTAAGCTTCTTACCCAACGACCCGAAACTCTTCATCTCTCGAATGAATCCAATAATCACTGCACTCAGCCGTTTCCCATAAAAATCGCCGCCAGCGTAATCGATCAAATGAATCTCCACCGTCTTCTTCTCATTCTGATATTGTGGATTCCATCCGATGCTCATCGCCATACTGTACTTTTCTCCTTCGAGAATCGCAGTACCGTAGTAAACACCGACTTGGAGGGATTCCGGAAGATTCTGAATTACAGAATCATCCATGTTCGCCGTCGGGCATCCGAGCTCTTTTCCGCCACGACCGAAGCCACGGACGACTTCTCCTTCGAATCGATATGGGAGGATTTGCATGTTCTAGAATTTTGAATACATCTTGATCCTATAAAATTTTGAAAAAGAATAGGGAAGAAATTGGTATAAATTCCAATGGAAATAGAAATAAATTGAAAAATAGGGGTTCAGAAAATTCAAGTAAAATTTATTAAAATTTGGGGGCAAAGGAAAAACCGGAATGAAACAACTGGGACATGTTTTTTTGGGAGATTCAAATAATTATCATTAAGAAAATGAAATTTCTCCGGATTCAAAGTATTGATCCATTTTGTACTTTTCCGCATCCCGATATATCGTCAACGGTGAATAGACAACGTCTGACTCGTCTAGCAGTGTGTAGTACGTCTTCTTTGCGTCCTCCTCCGACATTTTCGAGTACACAATCAGTCTTGGAATCGATTTTATCGTTTTCTTGGCGCTCTCATAGCTTGGCGTGTTCTTAGAAAGCCCTCTGCTCATCAGTTCCCTGTAGTTGGCCTTCACCAATGGATAAAGCTCTTTTAGAATCTTATTATGCACGAAATCTCCCGATAGCTCAGCCATAAACACAACGACATCCAGCATAAGGACAAACGAATTCGGATCCTTTCTCCCTGCGATCGTCATAAGCCCCGCCCAATTCTGATGGATCATTGGGAGAAGCATGTCGTCGTAATGCTTCAGAAGTTCAAGTCCTCCTTTTAGCAACTCTAGGCAGAGCAGTTGTACTGGGAGGTGATCTGTTGATAACATATGCTTCGTTCGGAGCAAGATCTTCTCTACTAGGATGTGTTGAGGGGTGGGACGGTCCTTTTGATCCTCTTCTGGATCTCCCATAGGTGGTAGAGGCTGATGATCTGGATAGTCCTTGTTGAGAGCGAACATGAATTCGTTGAGAGCTCGGAGCAACGAGTATGTGTATTTCTGGAATTGTTGTTTTGATTGGCTAAGCACATGCACGTTTCTCTTACCTGTTTATTCGTATCCAACGCGTACAACATCTTCTCCACAATCACTTTGATCACATCGAATTGATAAGAAACTTGTCCGTTTTGTAAATATGCTATCATCAAAACTGGAGCCAAATGATAGTTGATTGATGAGCTGCATGCCACGGAAACTCGATTCAGAATGTGACTACTGTACATTGAAATGAGATCGGTTACAGCTTGATTGGAATCCACGGCAATCACTTTCAAAGCGAACGCTGCAGCTTCTTGTACGATCCAGACTTTCGAGTTGGTTTGAATCAAAATAGTGCATAGACATTCGGTGGAAATCTGTAAAAAGGAAATCTGTCTGTGTGTCGGTTTGTCCAGAAAAAACTCACATGAGTCCGATTAGCGTTTTTCTTTGTAAATCTCATGCATAACGCCAGATTGATCAAGCTCAAACTCTCAATAATCATATCCACATCCATTTCATTATCAGTGGTATGCGGTTTACTATCATCCAGTATCCGAATCAAACAAGATCGATTCGTCTCCTTGATCATGTATTCTGCAAGCATCACAACGATCGGATCATCAGAAGGAATATTTTCAGGGTTCAGAGCTCCTAGAAGATGTCCAAGAAGCACATGATACGTGGATTGCTTCTTTGGACTTTCCGACTTTATCAGTTGTTGCACCATAGCGATAATTTCAATTCCTCCATGCCTCGCAAGCATTTCACAAACACATTCGACTTGCGATGAGTTGATATTATGCATCAGCTTGTATCTTTGCATGGCTTCAGAGACTGAGTTTAAAGGGACATCTCCAATGATCATCAGTTGTTTCAAATTGATTTCAATGCTATCAGCAAGACTTCGGAGAAGAAGTTCCATTGTTTGAGATCCAGAGGTACACATCAATCGAATATTGGGTCCTAGACCATCTAGAAGAGCAGCTAGAACTGATAACGATCGACTTCCATTTCCACTACGGGTTTCGACGGGAAGTCGGGTGATTTGGAGATCGAGTTGTTTGTAGAAAAAGTCATCTCTGATTCGTTTACTGTCGACTAGGGCAAGACAATGCTCAGAGATTTTGCGGAACCTGGAAAATTAGAATAATTGAGTTTTTAGATTCTTTTTCATGGGTTTCGAAATGGCTTTTTCGGAATTTTCGAAATATTTCGATTTTTTTTTCAAATTTCGGATTTTCAGAAAACCCGATTTTGAAATTTTCAATATTTTCTGAATTTCGAAAAATTTGGAATTCCGGATCTTTCCGATTCTCAAGTTATCGGGATTTCAGAAGATTCCTATTTTGTGTGTCATAATCTCGAAAAATCGCTTCTCGTCCATTTCTGGAAAGTTCTAGAAACTTTTTTTGAATTCTCGCCAAAACTAAAAAACTTTGATTTCGAGAGAAATTTTTGATTTTTTCTCCGATTTTTTGAAAAAATTTTAGAACTTTTTAGACCTTTTCAGCTATTTTTCATAATCCTTTTTTGATTTTTCCGGTTTTTTTTTCTCTGAAATTTGATTGACTGGATAATGTACGCGATTCGCGAAGATTACTGTAGATTACTGTAGAAAACAACAGTTTCTTCTGCATTTCCACGTGATTGTGTTTGCAAAAAACCTACAACATAAAAGGTTTTCTACATTAATCTACAGTATTCTTCACATGAAAACCGTTCCGTCAAATTTCAGACAAAAAAACCGGAAAATCAAAGAAATAATTATGAAGAAATATCTGAAAAACATAAGAAAAAATTGTCAATTTTTCAGAGTTTTCAGTTTTGGCGGGAATTCGAAAAAACGGATTCGAGAGCATTCCAGAAGTTTCCAGAAATGGACCAGATACCATTTTTCGAGATTTTGCCAATTTTTTCGAATTTTTTCTCTGTTACTACATGAATCTACATATTCCTCAGCTCGTTTCAGGGTCTGGGAACTTGTTTTTCGCTCTATTGTACTTTAAAATTCCAAAATTGAAAAATACGAAATTTTCAAACTGGAATTTCCGAAAATTTCAAAAAAGCCATTCCCGACATCCCTGCTCTTTTTCTCACTCACTTTTCAAAATCATCGTATTTCAAATGCATATGCATACTCAACAATATGCCATACAACTCCTCTCCGATGACCTCTCCACACTGCTCCTGAATCTCAATCACCGCTTCACACATCTCAAAACGAACGCCATCATTCCGATGGATCACAAACAAGGTGAGAAGCTTCTCTAGATAGTGCTTAATATGACCAGCTCTCGCTTCTTTCCACTCTTCGTTTTGATTTTTGAAAACATAGTGCATCTCTGTCGGATAGTCTTCCAGGTTGATTTTCGTCTCGTCGAATTTTTCAGCTCCATTCGAAAATGTGAGGAGCACGGCGTTTTTGAAAATCTGGGAAAGGAAGAGATGGGAATTTTCGATTTAAAGGTGGTGTACGGTGAAATTTTTTATTGCATCAAAATGTGCAGAAATGCATGTAGATTGACATAAAAATAAAGAAAAAATTCGAAAAAAATTCCTTCGGCGAGAAAAACGCATCGAAAAATACGCTGAAAGCCCTTAGGGACGAGCTTTTTTCTAGGCCGCCCGGTGAGTAAAAGCGCGCGAATTCAAACTTTTAAAATTTTTTTGCTCGTTTTCACTTTTTTTCGGTTTTTTCAAGAGTTTTCAAGAGTTTTTGTCAATTTTTCTTCCAGATACATCGGAAAATTTGAAAAAAAAAAGTGAAAACGAGCGAAAAAATTTTAAAAGTTTGAATTCGCGCGCTTTTACTCACCGGGCGGCCTAGAAAAAACCTCGTCCTTAAGGGCTTTCAGCGTATTTTTCGATGCGTTTTTCTCGATGAAGGAATTTTTTTTGAATTTTTTCTTTATTTTTATGTCAATCTACATGCATTTCTGCACATTTTGATGCAATAAAAAATTTCACCGTACACCACCTTTAAGTAATCTTACCGCTAGTAAATCTGTAATCACCGATGCATTGGTTGTTTTTTGAGTCATAATCCTTGTCACACCACCCAACAATCCAGATACAAAAAGAGAAACCACTGGTGCTCCTCCAGGCGGACACTGCCGAATTATCCTTGACAAAAAGTTCACTGCAGTTTTCCTTAAAATCAGATCCAGATTCGGTTTGCCCATGATTTCCAACACGTTGTGAAAAACTCGACCGATTGTGATACATGATCGGAAAGAGTAAAGGTCTGAAAACATTTTTTTTTTCAATTTGAAAATTGAAAAATTCGGAATTCAGAATTTTAATTAAAAATTAAGACACACCTTCGCAAACCGTCGGAGAAATTGCGAGCTTTTCCAGAATCCATACTAGCATATTGAAGAAATCACGAGCCATAATTGCAGTTTCACATTGTGGAATCGCTTCTAGGTACATATGAAATAGGGGTTCTATCGTTTTCCATCGGAAGTCGGGTAGCTGAAAAAATCGATTTTAGGTAGAATTTTTTGTGAAAATTTCGGAATTTTCAAAATGTTCAAATTTTGCAGTTTTTGAAATTTTTCGATTTTCAAAATTTCGAAAAAATGTTTTAAAAATTTCAAATTTTCGAAAAATTTAAAATTTAAAAATTAAAATTCCGGAATTTTAAAATTACTAAAACTCTCGAGAAAATTCGATTTTTAAAATTTCTGATTTTTTCGAATTCCAAAATTTCGGAATTTCGGAAAAATCCGATTTTTAAAATTGTGAAATTTCTGAATATTCCGATTTTCGAAATTTCGGCTTTTTCAGGAAAACTTGATATTTGTAACGATTTTCGATTCCACTTTCCCATCACGAAATCACAAAAAATCTATTGAAAATTGACAAAAATTCTTCAAAAACGCGAAAAAAGTAATTCCGTTCGAGATCCGCAAGCAAGCTTGTTGCATGCGCCTTTAAACATACTGTAGTCCGCAAAATTTTTAAAGGTGGTGTGCGGTGAAAAATGTTATTGCTTCATTTTGTGCAGAAATCCATGTAGATTCCCATAAAAATAAAGAAAAAATTCAAAAAAATTCCTTCATTGAGAAAAACGGCATCGAAAAGTCAAAGTGGGAACCGGTGGCCTAGCGGCCAGATGTGATTTTTCTAGGCCAACTGCCGGTAAAAGCGCACGAAATTCGATTTTTATTGATTTTCAATGTTTTCTCTGGCGTTTTTAAAGATTTCAAAGTTTTATTGTTAATTTCCTCCCAGGTGTATGAAAAAACCTGACAAAAATCAGAGAAAACATTGAAAATCAATAAAAATTCGAACTTCGCGCGCTTTTACCGGCAGTTGGCCTAGAAAACTCACATCTGGCCGTTAGGCCACCAGATACAACTTTGACTTTTCGATGCCGTTTTTCTCAAGGAAGGAATTTTTTTTGAACTTTTTCTTTATTTTTATGGGAATCTACATGGATTTCTGCAAAAAATGAAGCAATAAAATTTTTCACCGCACACCACCTTTAATTTAAAAAAAATGGAAAATTTCCGCAGAAAACCTTGAAAACGGTCAGAGTTTTCAGAATTCCGTTCGAAAAAAATCCAGTTTCTTTTCCGGAAAATTTTAAAATTTTTGCTACATATTTACCGATTTTGTGACTTTTTTCGGAAATTTGTTTTTCTGAAGTACGGTACGTTAAAGGCGCATTGGCGGGTATCGAAACGAATTTTATATAATTTTTCTCCGATTTTCAGGAACTTGCTGGGGTTTTCCAGATTTTTCGGAAAATAAAATTCACACACCCCTTCAAAAGTGGTCAGCAAGAAGAGCCCTTCCTTGTAAAACTGGCAAACTTCCGCTTTCTCATTCAACGACAATCTTGGCAATACTACACGTGCCGATACGATGATAGCTGCTCCGGCGAGCTGTTTCTGGTCCAATGAGCTCTCAAATTTCAGCTCTGAAAACTTGTACCAAATAAAATAAATATTTTTTCAATTCTAACTTTGCAAGTCGTGTAAAACACTGCTCATAAATATTCTATCGATCACTTGTCCACCAGATTTCTTCTGAAGAATCTCGGAAATCGTCCAGGTCGCCAATCGAAACAATCGATCATCTTCTTCTGTCATTTCTGACAAATCCATATTTTTTTCAGATTTCCTCCGATAAAATACAGTTTCCAATTGATGTTAGCTAAACAATTTTTCCCTGAAAACATTTTTTAATGTTCAATTTTTATTAAAATTTACAGAATAAGAGGACTAGAAAATTGGAAAATAAGGAATAGGGGGAGGATGCTCAAAATAGATCAAGGAATACGACCCGTTTTCAACGTTTCTCAATAGTGCGCGTTTGCGAAATTTGTCTTTTTTTGTCCACTGAAAGGGGTCTCGCGGGGCGACAAAAAGGAGAATAAAACGAGAGATCGCTGTATAAATGGTAAAAAATGAGAGAGCACAGGTTGTCAGAGGAAACAGAAATTCATATGAACCTGAGAAATATTCATAAAAGAGGCGGGGTCTATTGAGCAGTCGATACCAGCAATGGGAAGGAACAGGGTGAGGGCCTATATAACAAAATGAACAGAAAATTGTATATTGCAAACGCACTCCAATCAATTTTATTATCATTAGAGCGCAAAAAGTGAGTGCGTAGGGAATTTTTTGATTAGAAAAGTGACAAAGTGGTGCAATAATTGAGGGAAAAATCTAGAATCGTCCAACGGGACCGTTCAATATCGTCGTCGGGATGGTTCGAACGATTCCACGATGCGACGAGTATGGATTGTATGGTATCACAGGGTCCGGAATCAGGTCAGCGTAGTCTGAAGGCCTGGTGACTTGGCCAACAGCCCATTTCAGAATTTCAGCTCCTTTTGCAGTGATTGGTGCTGTCTAGAAAATTACAAATTCGTGTGAGAATATAGAAAATTGGGCGTCGAGTGTTTGCGTATGCCACATTTAACTTTACGACACTTTTCAATAAATGCGTCGTAAGATAAACTGCAACGTACGCAAACACACTGACGCGCAATTGCTCAAATTTCCTTACTTCATGATAAGCCACCAAATCGAACAGCTCATCGTGCACAACTTGATTCGTTCCCAAAAACTGATATCCCTCGGGTATTTTTTCTACAAGAAAATGCTTGAATGTTCCATCTCGAGACGCATACGATACCGTATACCTGGAAATTTCAGAAATTATAAAAAAAACTTTTTTTGCCGTTTCAAATACCCCCATATTCTCTCCGACACTCGAACTAAAAACGATCCAACTGGCTTGTTAGCCAAAAGAATTTCCGATTGATCGCGGGAAATTACTCCATGGAACCAGGGAGCTGGGGCGCGAGTTTTCGGGTCGAGACCCGTGCCACGTGGCAATTCCTCCCGTTGGAACCATTCGACAATGGCTGAGCGGGATTTTGGTTTTGGCGGTCGCGGTAGGTTTTTTCTGAAAAAATTTCTATTTCGATCGAGAAAATTTTGTGCATTTGTGCGTCGATTCCAGTGTTCACGTACAAAGCATTTTACTTTACGACGCAAAAAAATGCGTCGTAAAGTACAATGCTTCGGTACGCAAACACTCTAATTGACGCGCAAATGCAGAAACTCCGGGCAGCTCGATTATAGATTTTCGACCGGAGGAAATGGAAGCTTTGAAAGCGAAAAGAAGCGAAAATTTGGGAAAAATTGTGGAGTTAAAAATAAACAAAGGTCAAAATCTAAAAACGTACATGGCTTCCCTCAAACTTCCCGCCTTGTGATCCTTCAGCGCTGGTAATATACTCGTACTCGTCCGTATCATCTGCTGATGCTTCTCCCTCGCCTTCTGAGCTAATTCTCGTTGAGCCATCTCCGCTTCCCTCGCCTTTCGTTCCCTTTCTTCCCACGACGGATTCTCCCGATCTTCGAACAGTTCCGCTTCTCGCTGTTGTCGTTCTCGTTCTTCTTGTAAAGTCTGGAATATCTCTGATTCCCTCTTTTGAATTTCCTCGTCTCGCCGGCCATCGTCCTGTCGTGGAGCACGCATTCTGACTCCGTTGTTTGTGTTATTGGATTCTGTCTTTTGCCACGTGGAATGTCCATTTGTGGTGCTAGGCACACTTGTATTGTCATAAGTATCATATACTTTGGTGTTTGTTGTGGCTGGATTCGATGAGAACGTTGCAAAGTATCCGGTGGTTGGCTTCTGTGGTACGGGTGGTTTCTCTCCTCGTACCAGCTGAGCTTTCTGTGGTTGTGGCGTTGAATAACTGGATACTGTAGTTGTTGTGACTATTTGAGGTGGTAACGTCAGCGGAGGCGGTGGTTGGGAAGTGGTAAGTATAGGTTTCGGAGGTTGAAACAATAGCAACGGAGCGTCGTTGCCATACAAATTATCATAGTTTTCATGGGATCCCATCACATGCATCTGTCCAAGTTGAGCGATTAGATCGTCTTCTCGCTCTGAATCCGACGTGCCAGCAGCGGCACGGAGCTCTCGCATCGCCAGCGCGTGAGCCTTTTCGCGACTCTCTTCTTCCAGAATTTCATCGATTGTTTTGTCCTGAAAAATTTGTTTTTTGAAGTTGATGATTTATGAAGCGATTCCAAGCAAAATTTACATCTTTTTCGAAAATTTTGGATGTGAAAATTGAATTTTTTGATATTAAAAAAAATTCCGGAAAAATATATTTTTTTGCTTTTTTTCTCCGAAAAATCTCAGAGTTTTCCGATTTTTGAAGATTTCGGGATTTTTAAATTTCCGGAATTTCGAAATTTGCTATTCTGCAAATTCCGGAATTTCGGAATACTCCGATTGTCGAAAAAAGCTGATTTTCAAAATTTCGAAACGTCGGAATATTCTGAAATTCGGAAAACTCCAAAATTTTGGAAATTCGCAATTTCGAAAATTCCGGATTTTCGGAATTCTCCGATTTTCAAAATTTTGGAATTTCAGAATATTCTGATTTAGTAAATTTGAAACTTTTTCGAAATTTCGGAATTTTCCGATTTCCAAAATTTCAAAATTTTGAATTTCCCAAATCAAAAATCGATATTTACAAAAATTACTAGAAATGACTTTTCCGGTCGAAACGCAGAGCACAGTTTCTTGTCATGCGCCTTTAACAATACAGTACTCCGCAAGTAGAAAAGTTTTTGTTATGCGCCTTTAAAATACAGTACTTTTTGAAAAATGTATAAATGCTCAATTTTTCGACGATTTTTTCAGATTTTTCGAGGTTTTTTCAATTTTTCTTCTAGAATATCTCGAAATCTGAAAAAATCCCACGATTTAAAAAAAAAAAAACTCACCTGCGCATGATCTCCCATCACCCAAACCCAAACTTCTCCATCGACTCCTGTCAGCCATCTCAACCCTTTCCGCTTTGGCTTCCGATTCAGCGGACCCGTTCTCTCGAATTCCGCCTCTGCCATTTCCCATTTCCTCACTTGTTCGCTTCTCATCTGACAGAACAACAACTGCTTCTGATCATCGTCGAGCGCTTCCAGAAGTTCGACATCGACATGTCCGGTACTGAGAATTTCGCTCAGTATACTCATTGTTTTGGGGGTTTTTCACCTGAAAAAAGGCAAAAATTGGAAAAAATTGTTTGAATTGAAATTCAATTGAAGTACGAATTTCGACAGGAACAAGTTTTTTAGAGGTGAAGAGACACAGACATCGAGAGAAAAAAGAAAAATCACTAGAAAATTGCGCGAAAAAAAAGAATGTCTAAACATAGTGCACCCACACCGGGTGTTAGTCATTTCCGCAAATAAGGCAGTTTTGACGAATTTAGAAAAAAAGGGTAGTGAAATGGAGAGAAAAGAACTATTATAGTCAAAAATTGGGATCTAATTTTTTAAAGGTTGCAAGCGGGCCGGCTGATAACTTGTCTCTAAAACGAGATATTCCGACGGTTTTGGCACCAAATGATAGATCTTGACAGGGCCCATCAGGCCTATATTACTTGAACCGGAATCCAGTCTGATAACA